GTTAAAGTCATTACAAAGAGAATAACTTGTTCCAATACATGGACTACAAACTGATTACAAAATAATTACAAACTCATTACACAAACCACTTACTAATTACAAAATGACACAAACCACAAAATGTCATAAAAGCTAACTATTACTAACTGACATGAAACACATAAAACCTAATTTGAACTAATCTTGAGAAGGTTAAGGTGCTTGTGATGAGTTCCCAATTTCTGTTACAGCTGCCTTTATCTTCTTTCCACCTTTTGGTGTTCTTTAAAGTCCAGTAGTGATTGGCATTGTTGAAAGTCCAATGGTAATTGACATTCTTTAAAGTCCAGTAGTGACTGGAATTGTTGAAAGTCCAATGATAATTGACATTCTTTAAAGTCCAGTAGTGACTAGCATTGTGGAATGTCAAATGGTGATTGGCATTCTTTAAAGTCGGGTAGTGACTGGCATTGTTGAAAGTCCAATGGGAATTGACATCCTTTTAAAGTACAATGGTAATTGGCATTCTTTAAAGTCCACTAGTGACTAGCGTTGTTGAACGTCCAATGGTAATTGGCATTCTTAAAAGTTCAGTAGTGATTGGTATTGTGGAAAGTCCAATGGTGATTGGAGTTCTTTAAAGTCCAGTAGTGACTGGCATTGTGGAAGGCCCAATGATGATTGGCGTCCTTTGAAATTTCAATAGTGACTGGAATTGCGTGAAATTCAAATAGTAATTGGAATATCCTTAAAGCGAGCATTCTCGTTTAATATTATAACTATCAGACATGTTGTATCGAGAAGTTCAACTTGATCTCTCTCTTGAAGCGTACTATCGAATCTAGTAATATTATATTTCTATTAATTGGTTCCTCGAAAAAATATTGTGTTTATGTACCACTCAAGAACTCATTTATGAAACTTATATCCCTCACAAGAATAATTCAGTATAAAATGTAAAATACAAATCAATGATATTTTAACTACATAAATATGTATATAAAAAATGTATAAAACTTAATTCATTTTTGTAAGGTCTATTATTGAAAACTCTCACATATTTTTCGTAAAACAACTTGAAGCTAAACATTTGATTCAAAAGTATTGGTAGAAGATTTCTACTTGTATGTCACACAACTCATAATAAAGTTTTGTGAATTTTAGGCTCATTAACCAAACAAATATTTTACTTACCATAGATTAGTTAATATCCAGAAACACATATGTATAAAAGTATTTTACTTATCATAGTTCAGTTATTACCCAAAACAGGGCGGTTTGATGTTACCATATATGTATAAAAACATGGTTATGTAACATGGTCCCGGCGGGGCTCGAACCCGCGACCTTCGGCTCATAAGACCAACGCTCTAACCAACTGAGCTACGTGACCTAATCAATATATCTACAAACTTCTATTAATATAACTAAAGCCACTACTTAAATAAATTTAAGGTTAGTTGTTATCTCACATTCTATTCACTTATAAAAAAGTTATAGATTTTAGAAGCATACAAGTTTTAAATATTAGGCTTAAACGCACTTTTAGTCCCCCTTTTTACAATTTTTTTACGTTTTAGTCCCCTTTTGATTTTTTTCAGCCTTTTAGTCCCTCAAGTTGTCACTTTTTGAGATGTTTTTTTAGTCCCCCTCTGGTTTTGTTTATGTGGCTGTCAAAATGGTGATTGGGCATGGTCAGTTAGATGACAAGTCATTTAAATAGTTTCCATGTCATTTATAAACTTTAATAAAACGTTAATATTTTAAAAAATAAAAATTAATGTTACACAATCTACATAATGAAGAACCCTAATTTTATCGTGTTTATCCCTTTACTCATCTCTAGAAATTCTGCTACTACTCTTTCTCCTCCACGTCTTATACTTCATCTTCTCCACATCTTCTACCTTGTCTTGCCCATGTCTGGGTTTTCCCAAGCAAGCAGTCGTATAAAATCTCATTCAAACTTCAAATCAAACCATGGCAAATGTGTGTGCGGCCTAGAAGCACCACTGATGACATCATGGACTGATTCTAACCCAAGACGATGCTTTTATGGCTGTGGGATGTATAAGGTATTATTTTTCTATGATTTATCACTTCTACTTTCTCCAATCATGAAAATGGCTTACATTTTTTTCTCATATGTTGCCTATAGCTTGTGGGACAAAAGAGGTGTGGCCATTTTGTTTGGTATGACGAAGAGATGACCCAAAAGCAAAAGAAATGATTACATCTTTGAAGGAAAATTATGCTCATAGTAGAATAAGGTTAATGAATGCAGGGTCAAAGAGGATGACTTGAAGATGAAGGTCAAGTTCCTTAATATGCAACTGAAGTTTACATGTGTTATGAGCTTTGTAATGTTATTAGGTTTAGTTGTATCAAGTGTAATGAAGTAGGTTGTGGTTAAAAAATGATGTAGTATGTTTATGTTTTAGTTGTAACAAGTGTAATGAATTTGAATGTATGAATGTAACCCATGAATTGATGAATGAGAATGATAATTTTTGGTTTAATACGTTTCTATGAATGTAACCCATGAATTGATGAATGAGAATGAGAACTCTTTTTGGTTTATTTTATGGTTTATATGGTATCTTGGTTATATGGTTTTTATAGCAGATTATTATATCAGATGTTGCTTATAGGACATGTTCCAATTAGTTATGTTGCTTATGCAAATTTGAAAACAATTAACCAACTTAACAAACACTTTGAAAGTTTCATATAACAAAATTTTTGTAAAAAACACACGAGCGTTCCACCTACAGCAAGGGGAGGGTCGACAGCTCCCCCAATTTCAGAAATATGCAAAAAAATAGCACTTTGCATCAACCGGAACAGGTCATGCATCGACGAACATGACCCTAATTTATACAATTACAAATGCAGACAGTATGAGTCGATCGAAGGATCGATGCAAGCTCTACTGAGAGCAATACATGAAAAATTGACTTCTGTATGAGTCGACCTAAGCAGACTATGAGTCGACACAAACACTCAGAACTTTGCAAAAACACATTTTTTTCATATATTTAGCTACTTTTAAGAGATCCTAATATATCTCTAACTTGACCAACATGATTTATCCTATAAAGAACACAGTCATTACATAGTACATGTTCAAATTATAGTCATTACTTAGGAAGGTTGTGATGAATTAAAGGACATGTTAGTTCCAATACTGTATAATTAACTGACAAGGAAGTAGAAATTGAGCATTAATTCATAGAGATATCGTTAAAGTCATTACAAAGAGAATAACTTGTTCTAATACATGGACTACAAACTGATTACAAAATAATTACAAACTCATTACACAAACCACTTACTAATTACAAAATGACACAAACCACAAAATGTCATAAAAGCTAACTATTACTAACTGACATGAAGCACATAAAACCTAATTTGAACTAATCTTGAGAAGGTTAAGGTGCTTGTGATGAGTTCCCAATTTCTGTTACAGCTGCCTTTATCTTCTTTCCACCTTTTGGTGTTCTTTAAAGTCCAGTAGTGATTGGCATTGTTGAAAGTCCAATGGTAATTGACATTCTTTAAAGTCCAGTAGTGACTGGAATTGTTGAAAGTCCAATGATAATTGACATTCTTTAAAGTCCAGTAGTGACTAGCATTGTGGAATGTCAAATGGTGATTGGCGTTCTTTAAAGTCGGGTAGTGTCTGGCATTGTTGAAAGTCCAATTGGAATTGACATCCTTTTAAAGTACAATGGTAATTGGCATTCTTTAAAGTCCACTAGTGACTAGCGTTGTTGAACGTCCAATGGTAATTGGCATTCTTAAAAGTTCAGTAGTGATTGGTATTGTGGAAAGTCCAATGGTGATTGGATTTCTTTAAAGTCCAGTAGTGACTGGCATTGTGGAAGGCCCAATGATGATTGGCGTCCTTTGAAATTTCAATAGTGACTGGAATTGCTTGAAAGCCAAATAGTAATTGGAATATCCTTAAAGCGAGCATTCTCGTTTAATATTATAACTTTCAGACATGTTGTATCGAGAAGTTCAACTTGATCTCTCTCTTGAAGCGTACTATCGAATCTAGTAATATTATATTTCTATTAATTGGTTCCTCGAAAAAATATTGTGCTTATGTACCACTCAAGAACTCATTTATGAAACTTATGTCCCTCACAAGAATAATTCAGTATAAAATGTAAAATACAAATCAATGATATTTTAACTACATAAATATGTATATAAAAAATGTATAAAACTTAATTCATTTTTGTAAGGTCTATTATTGAAAACTCTCACATATTTTTCGTAAAACAACTTGAAGCTAAACATTTGATTCAAAAGTATTGGTAGAAGATTTCTACTTGTATGTCACACAACTCATAATAAAGTTTTGTGAATTTTAGGCTCATTAACCAAACAAATATTTTACTTACCATAGATTAGTTAATATCCAGAAACACATATGTATAAAAGTATTTTACTTATCATAGTTCAGTTATTACCCAAAACAGGGCGGTTTGATGTTACCATATATGTATAAAAACATGGTTATCTAACATGGTCCCGGCGGGGCTCGAACCCGCGACCTTCGGCTCATAAGACCAACGCTCTAACCAACTGAGCTACGGGACCTAATCAATATATCTACAAACTTCTATTAATATAACTAAAGCCACTACTTAAATAAATTTAAGGTTAGTTGTTATCTCACATTCTATTCACTTATAAAAAAGTTATAGATTTTAGAAGCATACAAGTTTTAAATATTAGGCTTAAACGAACTTCTAGTCCCCCTTTTTACAATTTTTTTTTACCTTTTAGTCCCCTTTTGATTTTTTTCAGCCTTTTAGTCCCTCAAGTTGTCACTTTTTGAGATTTTTTTTAGTCCCCCTCTGGTTTTGTTTATGTGGCTGTCAAAATGGTGATTGGGCATGGTCAGTTAGATGCCAAGTCATTTAAATAGTTTCCATGTCATTTATAAATTTTAATAAAACGTTAATATTTTAAAAAATAAAAATTAATGTTACACAATCTACATAATGAAGAACCCTAATTTTATCGTGTTTATCCCTTTACTCATCTCTAGAAATTCTGCTACTACTCTTTCTCCTCCACGTCTTATACTTCATCTTCTCCACATCTTCTACCTTGTCTTGCCCATGTCTGGGTTTTCCCAAGCAAGCAGTCGTATAAAATCTCATTCAAACTTCAAATCAAACCATGGCAAATGTCTGTGCGGCCTAGAAGCACCACTGATGACATCATGGACTGATTCTAACCCAAGACGATGCTTTTATGGCTGTGGGATGTATAAGGTATTATTTTTCTATGATTTATCACTTCTACTTTCTACAATCATGAAAATGGCTTACATTTTTTTTCTCATATGTTGCCTATAGCTTGTGGGACAAAAGAGGTGTGGCCATTTTGTTTGGTATGACGAAGAGATGACCCAAGAGCAAAAGAAATGATTACATCTTTGAAGGAAAATTATGCTCATAGTAGAATAAGGTTAATGAATGCAGGGTCAAAGAGGATGACTTGAAGATGAAGGTCAAGTTCCTTAATATGCAACTGAAGTTTACATGTGTTATGGGCTTTGTAATGTTATTAGGTTTAGTTGTATCAAGTGTAATGAAGTAGGTTGTGGTTAAAAAATGATGTAGTATGTTTATGTTTTAGTTGTAACAAGTGTAATGAATTTGAATGTATGAATGTAACCCATGAATTGATGAATGAGAATGATGATTTTTGGTTTAATACGTTTCTATGAATGTAACCCATGAATTGATGAATGAGAATGAGAACTCTTTTTGGTTTATTTTATGGTTTATATGGTATCTTGGTTATATGGTTTTTATAGCAGATTATTATATCAGATGTTGCTTATAGGACATGTTCCAATTAGTTATGTTGCTTATGCAAATTTGAAAACAATTAACCAACTTAACAAACACTTTGAAAGTTTCATATAACAAAATTTTTGTAAAAAACACGCGAGCGTTCCACCTACAGCAAGGGGAGGGTCGACAGCTCCCCCAATTTCAGAAATATGCAAAAAACAGCACTTTGCATCAACTGGAACAGGTCATGCATCGACGAACATGACCCTAATTTAGACAATTACAAATGCACACAGTATGAGTCAATCGAAGGATCGATGCAAGCTCTACTGAGAGCAATACATGAAAAATTGAATTCTGTATGAGTCGACCTAAGCAGACTATGAGTCGACACAAACACTCAGAACTTTGCAAAAACGCATTTTTTTCATATATTTAGCTACTTTTAAGAGATCCTAATATATCTCTAACTTGACCAACATGATCTATCCTATAAGGAACACAGTCATTACATAGTACATGTTCAAATTATAGTCATTACTTAGGAAGGTTGTGATGAATTAAAGGACATGTTAGTTCCAATACTGTATAATTAACTGACAAGGAAGTTGAAATTGAGCATTAATTCATAGAGATATCGTTAAAGTCATTACAAAGAGAATAACTTGTTCCAATACATGGACTACAAACTGATTACAAAATAATTACAAACTCATTACACAAACCACTTACTAATTACAAAATGACACAAACCACAAAATGTCATAAAAGCTAACTATTACTAACTGACATGAAGCACATAAAACCTAATTTGAACTAATCTTGAGAAGGTTAAGGTGCTTGTGATGAGTTCCCAATTTCTGTTACAGCTGCCTTTATCTTCTTTCCACCTTTTGGTGTTCTTTAAAGTCCAGTAGTGATTGGCATTGTTGAAAGTCCAATGGTAATTGACATTCTTTAAAGTCCAGTAGTGACTGGAATTGTTGAAAGTCCAATGATAATTGACATTCTTTAAAGTCCAGTAGTGACTAGCATTGTGGAATGTCAAATGGTGATTGGCGTTCTTTAAAGTCGGGTAGTGACTGGCATTGTTGAAAGTCCAATTGGAATTGACATCCTTTTAAAGTACAATGGTAATTGGCATTCTTTAAAGTCCACTATTGACTAGCGTTGTTGAACGTCCAATGGTAATTGGCATTCTTAAAAGTTCAGTAGTGATTGGTATTGTGGAAAGTCCAATGGTGATTGGATTTCTTTAAAGTCCAGTAGTGACTGGCATTGTGGAAGGCCCAATGATGATTGGCGTCCTTTATCTTCTTTCCACCTTTTGGTGTTCTTTAAAGTCCAGTAGTGATTGGCATTGTTGAAAGTCCAATGGTAATTGACATTCTTTAAAGTCCAGTAGTGACTGGAATTGTTGAAAGTCCAATGATAATTGACATTCTTTAAAGTCCAGTAGTGACTAGCATTGTGGAATGTCAAATGGTGATTGGCGTTCTTTAAAGTCGGGTAGTGACTGGCATTGTTGAAAGTCCAATTGGAATTGACATCCTTTTAAAGTACAATGGTAATTGGCATTCTTTAAAGTCCACTATTGACTAGCGTTGTTGAACGTCCAATGGTAATTGGCATTCTTAAAAGTTCAGTAGTGATTGGTATTGTGGAAAGTCCAATGGTGATTGGATTTCTTTAAAGTCCAGTAGTGACTGGCATTGTGGAAGGCCCAATGATGATTGGCGTCCTTTGAAATTTCAATAGTGATTGGAATTGCTTGAAAGTCAAATAGTAATTGGAATATCCTTAAAGCGAGCATTCTCGTTTAATATTATAACTTTCAGACATGTTGTATCGAGAAGTTCAACTTGATCTCTCTCTTGAAGCGTACTATCGAATCTAGTAATATTATATTTCTATTAATTGGTTCCTCGAAAAAATATTGTGCTCATGTACCACTCAAGAACTCATTTATGAAACTTATGTCCCTCACAAGAATAATTCAGTATAAAATGTAAAATACAAATCAATGATATTTTAACTACATAAATATGTATATAAAAAATGTATAAAACTTAATTCATTTTTGTAAGGTCTATTATTGAAAACTCTCACATATTTTTCGTAAAACAACTTGAAGCTAAACATTTGATTCAAAAGTATTGGTAGAAGATTTCTACTTGTATGTCACACAACTCATAATAAAGTTTTGTGAATTTTAGGCTCATTAACCAAACAAATATTTTACTTACCATAGATTAGTTAATATCCAGAAACACATATGTATAAAAGTATTTTACTTATCATAGTTCAGTTATTACCCAAAACAGGGCGGTTTGATGTTACCATATATGTATAAAAACATGGTTATCTAACATGGTCCCGGCGGGGCTCGAACCCGCGACCTTCGGCTCATAAGACCAACGCTCTAACCAACTGAGCTACGGGACCTAATCAATATATCTACAAACTTCTATTAATATAACTAAAGCCACTACTTAAATAAATTTAAGGTTAGTTGTTATCTCACATTCTATTCACTTATAAAAAAGTTATAGATTTTAGAAGCATACAAGTTTTAAATATTAGGCTTAAACGAACTTTTAGTCCCCCTTTTTACAATTTTTTTTTACCTTTTAGTCCCCTTTTGATTTTTTTCAGCCTTTTAGTCCCTCAAGTTGTCACTTTTTGAGATTTTTTTAGTCCCCCTCTGGTTTTGTTTATGTGGCTGTCAAAATGGTGATTGGGCATGGTCAGTTAGATGCCAAGTCATTTAAATAGTTTCCATGTCATTTATAAATTTTAATAAAACGTTAATATTTTAAAAAATAAAAATTAATGTTACACAATCTACATAATGAAGAACCCTAATTTTATCGTGTTTATCCCTTTACTCATCTCTAGAAATTCTGCTACTACTCTTTCTCCTCCACGTCTTATACTTCATCTTCTCCACATCTTCTACCTTGTCTTGCCCATGTCTGGGTTTTCCCAAGCAAGCAGTCGTATAAAATCTCATTCAAACTTCAAATCAAACCATGGCAAATGTCTGTGCGGCCTAGAAGCACCACTGATGACATCATGGACTGATTCTAACCCAAGACGATGCTTTTATGGTTGTGGGATGTATAAGGTATTATTTTTCTATGATTTATCACTTCTACTTTCTCCAATCATGAAAATGGCTTACATTTTTTTTCTCATATGTTGCCTATAGCTTGTGGGACAAAAGAGGTGTGGCCATTTTGTTTGGTATGACGAAGAGATGACCTAAGAGCAAAAGAAATGATTACATCTTTGAAGGAAAATTATGCTCATAGTAGAATAAGGTTAATGAATGCAGGGTCAAAGAGGATGACTTGAAGATGAAGGTCAAGTTCCTTAATATGCAACTGAAGTTTACATGTGTTATGGGCTTTGTAATGTTATTAGGTTTAGTTGTATCAAGTGTAATGAAGTAGGTTGTGGTTAAAAAATGATGTAGTATATTTATGTTTTAGTTGTAACAAGTGTAATGAATTTGAATGTATGAATGTAACCCATGAATTGATGAATGAGAATGATGATTTTTGGTTTAATACGTTTCTATGAATGTAACCCATGAATTGATGAATGAGAATGAGAACTCTTTTTGGTTTATTTTATGGTTTATATGGTATCTTGGTTATATGGTTTTTATAGCAGATTATTATATCAGATGTTGCTTATAGGACATGTTCCAATTAGTTATGTTGCTTATGCAAATTTGAAAACAATTAACCAACTTAACAAACACTTTGAAAGTTTCATATAACAAAATTTTTGTAAAAAACACGCGAGCGTTCCACCTACAGCAAGGGGAGGGTCGACAGCTCCCCCAATTTCAGAAATATGCAAGAAACAGCACTTTGCATCAACCAGAACAGGTCATGCATCGACGAACATGACCCTAATTTAGACAATTACAAATGCACACAGTATGAGTCAATCGAATGATCGATGCAAGCTCTACTGAGAGCAATACATGAAAAATTGAATTTTGTATGAGTCGACCTAAGCAGACTATGAGTCGACACAAACACTCAGAACTTTGCAAAAACGCATTTTTTTCATATATTTAGCTACTTTTAAGAGATCCTAATATATCTCTAACTTGACCAACATGATCTATCCTATAAGGAACACAGTCATTACATAGTACATGTTCAAATTATAGTCATTACTTAGGAAGGTTGTGATGAATTAAAGGACATGTTAGTTCCAATACTGTATAATTAACTGACAAGGAAGTTGAAATTGAGCATTAATTCATAGAGATATCGTTAAAGTCATTACAAAGAGAATAACTTGTTCCAATACATGGACTACAAACTGATTACAAAATAATTACAAACTCATTACACAAACCACTTACTAATTACAAAATGACACAAACCACAAAATGTCATAAAAGCTAACTATTACTAACTGACATGAAGCACATAAAACCTAATTTGAACTAATCTTGAGAAGGTTAAGGTGCTTGTGATGAGTTCCCAATTTCTGTTACAGCTGCCTTTATCTTCTTTCCACCTTTTGGTGTTCTTTAAAGTCCAGTAGTGATTGGCATTGTTGAAAGTCCAATGGTAATTGACATTCTTTAAAGTCTAGTAGTG